AAGTGAGAGCCGGTATCCTCCCAGCCTAGCCGCAGATTCAGTAACCAAGCATAGGATTAGTCAATGTTCTTTATGTCTGGTCCAAAGGGTAAAGAATAGTTATGCTCCTATTTGACATAATACAATTTGAACTAATTCAATTTATCCATTCACTTAAATTTCTTGACAAGGAGAATGATGATTTCTTATATATTGAACTTCAGATTAAAAACTTTATTAGTAGAATCAGTTAATTAAGAGTTTATTAAAATTACATTTTTATTTCAATTTCCTATTAGTGACAAATATGCAATTTGTGTGATTAAGTATTGATTTTTAAAATCTTAGTTCGTAGCCTCTAATATTACTCCCTGTGGGATCAATATCAAGGACTCCATTAGAGCCCTATATTACTTGAGCGATACGTATACTTGCATTGATAAGTGTGACTTTGCAATTATTGAATATTTTATACACATCTTTATCGAATCTATAACCGTTATCAAGTTTTTGGCGCCGTTGCTGGGGATTTAAATCTTCTAGCAGCAGTATCAAATTCTTATATTTTTAAGCATATATAAAGTCGCTGTCAGAGTGCTTCTCTTTGTGGGGTACTAATCTGGAACCCCTAGCTTGGTGGAAGTTGAGTTATACTCTTTTGTAGATATGTGATTGTTAGCCACTTCCAATAGCTTAGACAATGTTAGGTCATTATAGGCCTAAGGAGTAGCAAAATGATCCTTCCCTAAGTCCTTGGGTGAGGTCGATGTGCGCAACCGTGGGTTTGAGATCTTGGAATTCCAGCATCTCCCTTAGAAAAGTAAGTGATAAATGCATGTAAGCCTTCACCTTAAAACACATGGAGGAGGGCATAGAAGTTTCTTTGAGGCATTTATGCCCAGAAAAACTAAGCTATGAATATTTTCTAATGTTTGCGAAGGAGGTGATCACCCCTAACAAAAAAATGTTAAACCATTAAAGGGTTGAGTCCTTGAGTGTTGTGAGGTACATACAACATTTGAGTATATCACTGATCTTTAGTAGGAATACCATCGACTCAACGGAGGTGATATGATTGGTCGGGCCCGACCGTCCTCGGTAGAGTTATAGTGTCAGGATCTTGAAGAGGTTCGATGGTTCAACTTGGAAAATTCTTTGAGAAAAGACATTCACAGATTGTGCAATTTGCTGTGTTTCCATGAGCTCATGACTATGATGATCGAGCAGTGTGGAATCCATGTTGTAGTGATAGTGCTTGCCTTGTTCTGGTTTGGGGGGGGGGGGGGGGGGGTCCTTACAACATTCAAGATGGTTTTCATTTGTAGGTGATGAGAAGTTGTTTATCATGGTTGTTGTATTCTTTCTAAGGTGATTTCAACTTCATATTGGCTCCATCTTTTTCTCCTTGATTTAACAGATCTCTTGAGTCGCAAACTCACGAGTGCAGTTCATATTGTAGGGGGCATCTCGAGGAGAGGAAAATTCTTCTTGAGTCTCCCATATTCTTGTTTGTGGCATGATTCCACACTCAAAACACTTTCAGGGAGTTGAACCAAGGTTTATTTGTGAATCACGCCCAAGACATTGAGCATAAAGAAAGAGAAAGAGAGAAAAATAATGACTTACAAGCCTTAGAAGTGTCAGTAATCTATTTCCGTGATTTTTTCGAAAGTCTCCCCTTTTATGCGTCACTTTTTTCATATTTATAGTAGAGAGGAGTTACATTGTGAAATGTTGATATTATCCTTGGAATCCTCTTTTGTCGGTCACCCGCCGCAACTATCAAGATAATTTTTACCACAACGAAATTTATACTCGTCCAATCTTCATCTCGCTTACTTCTAGATTAGCTAGTCATTCATTTATTCATTCAGTTTGCCTTTTTCGACCCGGTTGGCTTGATCGTCCGTTCTGTAACAACGAATAGCTATTGGCGCTCGTCGAGATTAACTCTTTGGCATGTGTCTCATCAATCACCACTTTGTTCTGTTCAACTTATTTTGATCATACACATATATACCATAAAAAAATCTATGTATTTATGTATTTAATGGTTATATCATACTTTTTACATTCATGCCAATTTATCCATGCTTGACAAATATATATATTTCACATTTTCAAAGTTAGTAATTAGTATTATTTTTGAAATAATATAAATAATTTAAATGCTATAAGTATAAGAAGAGATTTTTACTTACATAACAAAATTCCTTATAAATATAAAAAGAGATTTATTTATAAAAAATTAATATTTAGATGTTAGATATGTAAATTCATAATATCTTTGTAAATGCTCCTTCTAAAAATTATTACACAAATTTAGAAATAATTAAGTTCTAATTAATTTTGTTATATTTGTTTTTTTGGGAAGATTTACATACATACCTCTCAATTCCTATCTATGTCCATATTTAACACCAATGCTTTATC